GGCAAGAGCACTGAAGCCGCAAGCTTCAACAGCACTAGGTGTCATGTTCCAATCCCCCCCGACTAAACAAGGCCCCTCCACCCCACTGAAACGCTTGCCAACTGCAGCTAAATACCTGGCATTCAGAGTGGTCGCGCCGATACTCGGCACTAGGTAGAGGTTGATGGCATGCAACGGCGGCCATCCTGGCAGGTCCAGTACCACATGTAGCACACGATGCTGAACCACCTGTTCACGGAGTCCAGGGGGAACACGAACTCCACATTGACTACGAACAAATATGGCGACTCCAGCTGTCGGTAGTACTCCAGCGGAGGGAAGTGCAGGCAGTGCCAACATCTGCCATCCTCGTCCACTGATCCACGTCTGCAGCGACTCGAGCTCGCTCTCCAGGTAGCCCGTCTCATGTACCATACAACCATAGCACAAGAACGCTGAAGTCGCTTTTTCAATGTCCGTTTACCACCATTGGCATTGAATGACTCCAACATGTGAGACGGCGCCATCAGCATAGCGGGGGCTGCGGGAACCACACTCTTTGGTCGCAAACCAGTCACACGTGGTATCATCCTGCCCAGCTTCTTGTGACGGTCCATGCAAGGGTCTGCAGGGACCGACTCTGCCGAGGCATCATTGGGGCTAGGAGCTGCACTTTTGCCTCTTGACCTGCATCTCGGTAATCTTAGCCTGGAAGTCTTCAAAGCTGTCTGCACTCCAGAGCTCCTGCAAACTGTTGTCATCGAGCTCTGAGTAGTTTCGCTTGTCGGTGGCGGTGTCACCAGTGGGAGCTGCAAGCATCTCGGCGTCAGGGGGGCTCGCATCCGCAGCACCTCCAGAAGCGCTTGCAGCTGAAGCCCCAACACTGCCATCAGCAGGGCCAACCACACGAATATTCTTCTGGATTTCCTCCCACGCGGCGCTCTTGAAGAAGGCCTCGACGCCTTCGTACTTGGAGTACATCTGGTCGAGATTGTCGATCTCAATCTTGATGCCTGCTGAGGGTACCTTCGCCTCACCAGACTCGGCAGCCAGCAGAGCAGATGTACGAGCAACTTCGTTAACCAACTCTGCCACTTCAACTCGCTTGGTCTCGAGCTTCGTCTTACGCTCCTCGATCGATAGACGCAACTCTTCCAACTGCTTGTCTTTCTCTTCCAACTCTTTTGCTTGTCTGGCCACCGCTTGTCGTGCACGCTGCAACTCATTGGTGGCCCTCCTATGCGCCGTGGTTGGATTCCGCAGCTCTTTGATATTACCACGTAGTACTTCCAACTTTGCCTTGATACTGGAGCGCAACTCATCAAACTCATCACCTGAAGGGACCTTTTTGAGCGATTCATCCAACTCATTAGCCTGCACAACCAACCGACCTCTCTTCGCATCGTCGGACCCAGGGTCAGCCTGTTGCGCAGCTTCAGCAGCTTCACGATCACGAGTAACTTGATCTTTGTACCAAGGTGCTCGCTTAGATTTACCCTCAGGCTTGTCAGACTTATCAGGCAACTCTCCTCGTCCAAGCGCTTTGACCAACTCATCCAGTTGCGCCTGTACACGTAGGAGCCCGCCCGATTCATCTTTGCCTTGACCTTTTCCTTTACCACGCCCACCTCCACTTCCCGACTCGGGCTTGGCGGCGAGCTGCTTCTTGTGCGCCTCTTGGGCACGACTGCGGATATGGGCGGGCGCCATGTTGCCACATCTGCAGCGAATACGGCTGGCCCAGTTGTGAGCAGCTCCGCACCGCCCACAAGCCCACTCAGGACGACGAGGACCCAGTAGGACGTCATCGTCATTGGCCATGGAGCGCTCCCGCGGGAGCAGAAGGGGGCTGCCAGCAGCTGCTGCCTGCTGGCGGGGCCTCCCGCGGGAGCTGAAGGCCAGCAGCGGGTGCCTGCTGGCAAGACTCGAACAACAAGGCCCGCGAACGCGGTGCCGCGCTGAGTTCTCGCGTTCGCAACCCCCTGAATCTCTCGAGGGGGCAGCACGGCTGGCGGAGGAGGAGGAGGAGGGGAGGCGGAGGCGGAGGCGGAGGAGGAGGAACCTTGACTATCCCTGGGGACGCCTAGTTCCGCGCATCGCGCCCTGCGGTGCACGGCGCGCCATCGCCTTCGCGCCCCCGACCTCCCACCTCGGAGGAGAGCGGCAACGCTCCGGCCCAGGCCGCGACGCGCGAAGCGCGATCATCCTCGCGCCCCTTGGGGGCGGCCTACGGTACGGGCTCGGACACAAGAAGCCTTCCTCAAGAAACCCAACCCTGAGACCCCAGGACGTCCAATGATCTGTGGTGTGGGAACGTCACGCTTTCCATCGCAGAACCATCGAAACCCAAGGAACCCAGGGCACCCTTGGGGCAAGCAGGGTGTTTCTTGGCATGGGCCTCCACTGTAGCTCCCTCGGCCAGATCGGATTTGGGCGTGCGGCCCCGCACGAATTCGCGAATCGTTGGCAGGGGATACCCTCCTCTTCGTCGGCTCGTCGTTTCCTCTCGGAAGTGGACTCCGTGGCGGGCAGAGTGGAGGGAACGAAGGGGAGATCCGCAGAACCCAGACCTCCAGTAGATGGACAATACATTCGAACCCTTTCACATTCGAGGGAGATTTCGAATCACCCCCGCGCCCCCGACATCAATGTTGATCTCAGTAAAGGCGGTGCTTTGGGGTTCCAATATTTCTGTCCACTCACGCCCCCCCCGTCGCCACGCCATCAATATTAATTTCGGGGAGTCTGGGGGGCATCTTGGGCCACAGTTCGAATACAATGTCCATGTACGGTCCCTCGAACCAGTTCGTGGACGTGCTCGGCCTTTTGGAGCTTTCTCGTCGCCACGGCCAGATCCCAGAGCCACCTCGGAATTCCCAAGCGCGCCCCTGGACGGGTCCCCGGTTGGGGAAACAGAACGCCCCCAGCCCTGGCCATCGCTCGGACGTCCATTCCCTGTGATTTGTTCGGTTTCGTGCGTGGTCTTTCCGCCAGATGATGCCAAGACCCCCACCTGGCTCTGTCCTGTTTGCGCTGCTCTTGCGGAGTATCCTCCCCGTCGGCTTCTGAAGCTCTCTGGCCCAGCCCTGGAGGGGGGGAGGGGGGCCAGGCGGGGGTGGAGCTACGACTTCTTTACCTGCCGACACACACACACACCCCTCTCGAGCGCGAAAACAGGCACGATTGCCACCCGAGGTGCTCAAGCCCTAAAGGGGTTGGGGGGCGGAGGAGCGGCGCCAACTTTTCCACATGGCACGTGAGAGCTCAGCACGCGCAGGCAGCGCTGCCATTGCACCGTTTCGGGCGGGGGAACGTGCCGACAAGTGTAGGCGGCGGGAGGTAAGCCGACCCTGAACACAAAAAGGAGCAGGAGAGGGGAAAGGGAAGAGACGGCACAGCGATACACGTGGGCAATCCCCGCGTTCCTAACCAGAAGTTGCAAGGCTCAACCTAGTAGAATCACGCGGTTGGGATATACAAGGTAAACCCCTTGATCTACTAAATACAACCAGGCACGTGGATCTACCAGGTAGAACCACGGGCATGTTATAACTCATCCTATTCATAAACTGCTATAAGGCGGGGGACCCCGGAAAAAGCCCCCCCCTAACGAACTTGGCCCACACCGGGCCTCTCGGGCAACCCTCCAGACGACCCGGGAGAACTTCACGAGAACCCGAAGACGGCCCTCGAGGGCTCCAGGCGTTCTGGCGTGCTCCCGAAACGACCCCAGAGAGCCCCAAGACGGTCCACGACGACCCCGAAAAAGCTGCCTTACCCGCAAAGATCGCCCCAAAACGTCCCAAGACCCAAGAGGCAAGATGAATTGATTTCCGGTCGGTTTTTGGTGAATTTAGGGTCCTCCTCTTTTCGGCTTCCCGACGCTCCAAGACGGCGGTCTTCTGGACGTCCAAAGCCGCCTGGGAGGCTCGAAAATCGCCCCACAACCATCCGAAAGGGCTTCCAGGCAGTCCAAGAGAGCCCCAAGACGGCACAACAGGGTTCCAAGATGGCCTAAGAGAGCCCCATGGCGGCCCAAAATGGCCCCAAGACACCCTCCGAAGCATTCCAAACCGTGACCTGGTCGTTCAGGGAGACCGCGGTTGGAGGCAGGGTGGCCCGAGGAAGACCCCAGAGGCCCCCAGAAGACGCCCAGGAGGCCTCCAGAAGGCCCTGAGAAAGCCTGAAAACTTGTGTGAAGCCCCCAGAGGCTCTCCAAGGAGGAGCCTCCGCAAAAAGAGCTCTTGGGCCGTCTTGGGCGCCTCTTGGGAACCTCTTGGGTCGTCTTGGGGAGATCGTAGGGGTCTCTTCGACCGTCTTCAACGCCGTGAATGCCGAAAAAGTGTATCTGCTAAAAATATACGTTTTCTTATGGAAAATCAATGATATTTGCCTCTTGGCGCCATTTTGGGGTGCCTCCTGAAGGCCTCTTGGGCAGTCTTTGGAGGCCTCTGGGGCCGTCGTGGAGCGTCTTGAAGGCTTCTTGGGCCGTTTTGGCGCCATCTTGGGCTGCCCGGTAACCCAATAGAAGCGCCGGAGAGGCCTCGGGGAGGGTCCAGGGACGCCCCAGGGAGGCCCCGGGCTTCCAGGAAAGCCGCCGGGGGGCGGGGGCACCGAAATACTAGGGTGGTCCTGGCCCGGGGCCCGGGGCCCGGGATCTCCCATATGTGTATACATATGTGGATAGGCGTATGCAAAAATACATAAACAAATGCACATACATAGATGCACCGATGTGAATATATAAAGATATACAACCATGTGTTACGCAACTGGTACGACCGCTGCCCTCCCATGTACGACCCCTAACCACCCAGGAGACCCCATCATAGACGCCTTCTGCGAAGGAGAAGAGAGGGTCTTCCTTCGAAGCCTCGTGGGCTCGAAGATCGAGGATTCGGGTTGGCTCGTGCTGGCCTTTCTTCAAATGGCCTGACGGCCTCCGGGATCAATTCCCCCCCCCTGGGGACGATGATGGGTGGAGCGACATGGACTACATGACGAGACCAGGGCGGCAAGGAGCTGAACGAGACGGAACGGAACGCTCGCTCGGGCGATCGCCCAGGCCCGCTAAGGGCGGAGCGGGCGAAGCTCTGGCCTTGCACAGGGGCCAGCGCAGGCTGCGAGCTCACTCGGAAGGCCAGCGTCGGGCAGGCGGGCAAGCACTGGGGCGAGCAGCAGGCGGAGAGCCGGAGTGCACGAGGAGACCAGGGCAGCAGGGAGCTGCCGGGGGGAGAAGCGCGGTGGGAGGCCGGGGCAGGCGAGGGAGCGAGCGAGCGCCACGAGCGGCGCGGACGGCCGCCCGGAGGAGGGGGGCAAGACGAGGCGGGGCCCAGCGGACGGCGCGGACGAGGCGCGGCCCGGAGGGCGGCCGAGCCGCCCCGAGTGGAGCGAAGGAGCGACAAGACGAGGCCCAAAAGGCGGCGCGGGCAGACCTCTGGGGAGCACGCGGGGGCTCGCGTCGCCAGCTTGGGCTACGAGCTCGTTCTGCATGTCGCCCTCGAGCAGATCTTGCACCCCGAAGACAGAGCCTTCCGAGCCGCGCGGCGCCCAAAAGGGGGGGGGGGCGGCAGGAGGGGGGCCAGGGCGGGCCGCGCAGCACCAGGGCGGCTGGGCTCCGCGGAGCGAGTTTCTGCGGAGGCCCCGGGGTCCGAGCAGGTCCTCCTCCTCCTCCTCCTCCGCCTCCTCCTCCTCCGCCTCCTCCTCCTCCTCCTCCTCCGCCTCCTCCGCCTCCTCCTCCTCCTCCGCCTCCTCCTCCTCCTCCCCTCCTCCTCCTCCTCCTCCTCCTCCTCCTCCTCCTCCTCCTCCTCCTCCTCCTCCTCCTCCTCCTCCTCCTCCTCCTCCTCCTCCTCCTGGGGTCGGGGGATCACACCGGATCGCCGCTACATCGGCGGCATCGGTGCGGAGACAATCGGGCTACACATCGAGCCGCAACGCCCATGCAGCGGCGATGCAGAGCGATCCTCCGATCCCAGCTGATCGGACCCCATCTAGGAGGCCCAGATCTGATTAGATCTGGGGGGAATCGGGACAGCTACAACGCCAGCCCCTGGGGGACGGCGGGGGGGGGAAACATGTGAGCGGAAAACCGACTCGAGTGAGCTGGCACGAAGGCGCCTCACGGTGCACCCTCAACTGAAGCCGAAGCCAAAGATGAAGTGCACGCAGAAAGAAAGGGTCCATCTTGCATGGCTGGCAGCACATCGTTGCTGCAGGCTCCCCTGAGCACGGGCCCCTTCCCGAGCATCAGCCAGACAAGTCGGATTTGCACACTCATGCCTTGCTGGAGGGAGGGTGAGGAAGTTGGAGAGGGAGAGGGAGCGGGAGAGAGGGTGCACGAAGAGAAAAGCAGCTGGGACAATCGCAGCCAGGCGCGATCAAAGTAGGGGGTGGAGATGAACCAACGCGCGATCGCTCGCGGAAAAGGCGAGGAGGAGGGGAAGGCCGAAAGAGCAGAGGGCCAACGAGAGGAGGCGCAGGACGTTGCGCTCGACTTCGGGCAGAACGACCAAGAGAAGAACGATAGGCTACACTCAAGAGTGACCCTTGGCAAGAGTGACCTCTGGTGCGCGGATTGGTGGCCAAATCCAAGCGCGCCAGCAACCATTACCGCAACGCGCTCAGCGATCGGGGGGACCCCGATGAGCCCGCGCCAGAGGTCACCCCGGCGAAAGGTCCCTCTTACGCCTCGTCGAAGCGAACGAGAGCGCTCGCGAGCGGGCGGCGGCGCCAGTGCCGCGCACACGATGTGATCTGGACCCTCTGGGGCAGACCGCGTGGGGCCGCAGACTCGAGTCGTAGACACAGGGCGGGGCATACGACCAGGGAAGAGGAGGGGGAGAGAGGGGGGTGCAACCAGCCTCGAACTTAGCCCTGTCTATGAGATCACACGCCCAAAAGCGCTGACGGCCTCAGGGGTGCGCCCTCGGGAAGGTGGGGAGTCCTGAAGATCGGCGTCGAGACAAGGTGATGCCAACGAAAGCGATAGCGATATGTTTCAAGCTGGTAAGGGAGAGGGTGAATAGGAGGGGGGTCTCCTGGTAGAACGTCGCGGACGTTTGGAGCATCATCACAGCAGCCCTGCAGGCGCGAGGGAGTATCAAAACTCTGGACAACCATCCATGCAGCCGCGCCCCCTTGACTCCTTGACTGCTCCATTGCCGTCCACTATATTCAATATCTGCGCTCCTCCTCCCACTACGCATCTTCCCTCGCATTCTCCTCCCCTCTCTGCCGTAGTTCCTCCTCCCTGCTCCCATCCAGAGCTTACCGCAGCACTATCTGAGGCTGATCGGGTGAACTTTCTGGAGGCCCCCCAAGATCACTCCGAGATGGCCCAGGAGGCGCCCAAGAGGGCCTAAGCGGCCTCCAAGATGGGCCCAGGAGAGGCCAAAGAGGGGGAACTCGAACTGATATGTCAAGCCTCCCACCCTAAGATTGTCTCCGAGATAGCCAGGACGTTCCCAGGAGGCCCCCAAGAGGCCCCAGGAGACCCCAAGAGGCCGAAAGCAGGCATCCAAGAGGCGTCCCAAGAGATCACAAGATGTGGAAGAGGCGCCTGGCCCACAACCCAGGCACGGTGACTGGTCTGGCCCAAAGCCGCTAGCTAGCCTCCCTCCTCCTTTCCCGCCTCTTCCTCACCACAGCGTTCACCAGGAGCGGGGGGCAGCCAGCCATCAGACGACATCGGACGTCCGAAGAGGAGAGGTCGTTCAATCCGCGGCCCCAGAGCTTCCGACCCCTCCCCGGGGGGCAGTGATTCCTCCATGCTGAACGGTCGATAGTCCTGGGGCTCGAAGACGGCCCCCAGAGGCCGAAATTTAGGGAAAACGCTGGGATCTCTCAGAGAATTCGCCCATCGGATGTCTCAGGACATTAGGCACTCCAGGAGACCTTGGGGATCGCCCTGATCGCCCCCGGCAACGCTCGCCATGCCCGCCCACTCATGACGACTTAAATCTGAATAGTTCTGCTCCATGCGCACCGACAGCGGCCAATAACCCCCGCCCCCACATCCCCCACTCATCCTCCCGTCGTTCTCCTCCCTCATACGTCCTCGATTATTCCTCGTCCTCCTTTGTGGCCAGCCTTGTTTGGCATTGGACCGCAAGAGGGAGATCGTTAAGCACATCCGCCTCTCGGTGGCAGGTGGCCAGGTCGCGGAGCTCTTCTGCTCCCCCACAGCGTTTGGTTCAGCGGTTTAGCGGCGACGCGTGCATTCCTCCCTCCTCTCTCTTCCTCATCAGCGCCTGGGGAAGATCCCAGACATGTGTGCATTTAGGTGACCTGCAAACGCCCTCGGTCGTACAGAGTAGCTCCTCCTCCTCTTCCTCCTCCTTCTCCTCCTCCTTCTCCTCCTCCTCCTCCTCCTCCTCCTCCTCCTATTCCTTCTCCACCTCCTTAGGAAGGAACTTTTAAGAAATCCGCATGAAGAAATCATTGGCAGAGAACCCTGTTTATAAAATCCGTATTCCGGAACCCTTAATGAGGATTCCTTGTTCTGGAACCCCGAGTCAGGACTATTTCGTGACGGAGCCTTAGTAAAGAACACTTGCAAACGAACAGTTGCTTGGGATGCCGTAAATCACGGTTCCGTAATAGAAGTCCTTCGTACGACACCCATACTGAAGAGTGTTTCACGCAGGACCATTAACAAGGAAGCCTTGGTAAAGAATCCTCTGCAAGGAATGGTTTCGAAGGAATAGTTAGTCGGGAACCGTGACAAAAAGGGTCACCTTTACGAGGGGGCCATTCGCAGATAATCCTTGTTCGTGGATCATGATTACCCTGAGTAAGACATCCGGGGTAAAGAATCAGCAGCAAGGAATCTCACACAAGGGACCCTTAGAAAGGAAATTCTCACACAAACGATCCAAACAAAAAAGGGCCTTCACAAATTCTTCACAAAGGTGTCTGTACTGTATACCCGTAGCCAGGCATGCTTAGTATATCCTTAGTACAAGAATCCTTGCAATGGGATCCTCAATAAGGAAGCCTTCAAACATAATCTTCGCCAGGGAACACTTAGTGATGATTCCTTTGTCACGCCTCCTTCGTAAAGACTCATGAGCTGGAAGTCCTTCGTAAGGGCCCTTGATGAAGAATTCCCCATCAAGAACCCTGAATCCGAAATCTTTACTAAGCAATCCTAGGCAACGACTCCTCTTGAAAAGGAATGCTGAATAGGGAACCCTCAGTAAGGTATCCTCACAAGGGAGCCCTTTACCAAGGAGTCCTTGGTAGTGAACCCTGGCTACCCTTAACAAAGAATTCTTACTAAGAAATCTGCCAAAAAGAATATTACACAAGGGGTGCTCAGAAAGGAACCGTTACGAAGGCATCCTTACTAGGGGATCCTAGCCAAGGTAATATTGGTAAAGAAATTGTTTAGTAAGGTTTCCTTGTTAATTGGGGCCCTCGGTAAGGATTCCTTCATAACGAACCCTGGCTAGGAAAACCTCACGAATGATTCCTTGATTCCTTCATCGCGACTCCTTAGCAAGGCCTCCTTAGTAGGGAACCCTGAGTGAGATTTCCGTACTACGAAACCCTGTTTAAGGAACCCTTGATAGTAAATCCTGGCAGAAGAGCCCTTGGCAAATAATCCGTCTTAAGGAATCACACGTAAGAAATCCGACGTAAGGTGTCATTATTGAAATGGCCTCCGGCCAGTGCCGCCGATCCGGGGCGCTCTGGATGATGATGATGACGATGATGATGATGATGCTGATGATGATGATGATGATGATGATGATGATGTTGATGATGATGATGATGATGGTGGTGTTGATGATGATGACGATGACGACGGTGACCTTGTGTTCTCTTGTGGGCCTCTTGGAAGCCTTTTGGAGCCTCTTGGGAGCTTCTGGGAGGCTTATTGGAGCCTCGTGGGCGCCTCTATGCTGTTGGGGACGGAAGACTTGTCATGTTAGAAGACAGCTCTCGCTCGAGACATCCTCATAGGATAGAGATGTTGAAATGGCTTGCGGAACTTTCGGATCTTGGAAAATGACGCTCTTGCCTGAGACACATTCAAAATCCGGAGATGTTGAAGTAGCTGTAGTACGACATCTTGTGGAGGCGCTCTTGGAGGACCTTGTGGGGCCTCTTGGGGGCGTCTTGGGGCCTCCTGGGGGCCTCCTGGGCCGTCTTGGGCCCTTCTTGGGCCGTCTTGGAGCCCTTTTGGGCGCCTCTTGGGCCCGTCGTGGAGCCCTCTTGCGCCGTCTTGGGGGCCTCCTGGGCCTGCGTAAGCCCTTCTTAGGCCGTCTTGGAGCCTTTTTGAGGGCCCCTTGAGCCGTTTTGGACACTGCGAAGGCCCAAGAAGCGAACATGCTAAAAATGTAGGGTTTCCTTGGGGACCAGTCGGGGCCTTTTGGGGCCTATTGGGGGCGTCTTGAGCCCTCCTGGGGGCCTCCTGGGCCGTCTTGGGCCCTTCTTGGGCCGTCTTGGAGCCCTTTTGGGTGCCTCTTGGGCCCGTCCTGGAGCCTTCTTGCGCCGTCTTGGGGGCCTCCTGGGCCTGCGTAAGCCTTTCTGAGGCCGTCTTGGAGCCTTTTTGATGGCCCCTTGAGCCGTTTTGGACACTGTGAAGGCCCAAGAGGCGAACATGCTAAAAATGTAGGGTTTCCTCAGGGAAATCGATGATTGTGGCCGGTCGGGGCCCTTTTGGGAGACCTCTTGGGGGCCTCTGGGGGCGTCTTGGCGGCCTCTTGGGCTGTCTTGGGTTCATGTTCGGCGTCTTGGATCGATTTTTGGGCGATCCAGAAACGTCTTGGCCCGTCTTGGCGGCTTCTTGGCAACGTTTGGGTCCGTTGTGGCCAACCGAACCCCGACCAACCGAACCCAATCTGTGGAAGACCCCCCCCCCTACCCCGGCAGAGCCACCCCGGCCCACCCACCCCCTTCAACTCACACGCCGGATCGGCGAATTAAGGAATCCTCAGTAAAGACACTCCTGTTAGGAATCCTTTATTCTCTTGCACAGGGTGTCTAGAGCTCCGACCGTTTTATTTTTCGCGACGCACCCCTCCCCCAGCGGGACCTCTGCCCACAGCGCCCCCAGTGGGACCTCCCCAGCGCCCCCCAGTGGTCCCCAGCGCCCCCCCAGCGGGACCTCTGCCCACAGCGCCCCCCAGCGGGACCTCCCCAGCGCCCCCCAGTGGTCCCCAGCGCCCCCCAGTGGGACCTCTGCCCAGTGCCTCCTCCGCGCCCAATGCCCCCTCCGCCCCGACGATTTTATTTTTCGCGACGCGTCCCTCCCCCCCCCAGGCCTCCCCAGCGCCCCCCAGTGGTCCCCAGCGCCCCCCAGTGGGGCCTCCCCAGCCGCGCCCAGTGCCCCCTCCGCCCCGACGATTTCATTTTTCGCGACGCACCCCTCCCTCCCCCAGTGGGACCTCCCCAGCGCCCCCCAGTGGTCCCCAGCGCCCCCCAGTCGGGCCTCCCCAGCCGCGCCCAGTGCCCCCTCCGCCCCGACGATTTTATTTTTCGCGACGCACCCCTCCTCCCCCCAGTGGGCGCTCCCCACTGGTCCCCAGCGTGGCCTCCCCCGCGCCCAGTGCCCCCTCCGCCCCGACGCCGCGACGCACCCCTCCCCCCCCCCCAGTGGGACCTCCCCAGCGCTCCCCAGTGGTCCCCAGCGCCCCCCAGCCTCCGCGCCCAGTGCCCCCTCCGCCCCGACGATTTTATTTTTCGCGACGCACCCCTCCCCCCCCCCCAGTGGGACCTCCCCAGCGCCCCCCCAGTGGCCCCCAGCGCCCCCCAGTGGGGCCTCCCCAGCCGCGCCCAGTGCCCCCTCCGCCCCGACGATTTTATTTTTCGCGACGCACCCCTCCTCCCCCCAGTGGGACCTCCCCAGCGCTCCCCAGTGGTCCCCAGCGCCCCCCAGTGGGGCCTCCCCAGCCGCGCCCAGTGCCCCCTCCGCCCCGACGATTTTATTTTTCGCGACGCACCCCTCCCCCTCCCCCCCTGGCCTCCCCAGCGCCCCCCAGTGGTCCCAGCGCCCCCCAGTGGGGCCTCCCCAGCCGCGCCCAGTGCCCCCTCCGCCCCGACGATTTTATTTTTCGCGACGCCCCCCCTCCCCC